GAATAAATTGTTGCAACTGCCATTCAAGCACACGACCACTCCTTCAGAATTTTGGATGTTTCATTTTCAGCACCAGAGTTCCACCCTTCCAACAAACCTAAAAACAGATGATTAAGAAAAACCACGAAAATCCAGAAATCAAAGATCTCCAGATAATCAGGAAAAAAAACTTAACCACCAACTTATTAATGAAAGAAAAAGAAAAATAAAGCAAAAGAAATAATTGGGTTGCCTCCCAATAAGCGCTTCTTTAAAGTCATGAGCCAGACTATATAGCTGATCAATCAGGTGGACGCTCAATCAAAGAGTGGGAACCCCTTTGATACATCATTCTTCTTTTGGCTCCAACTGCACCTACATCACTGATACACTTGTCAGGAGGGTCATTAAAATTAGCAATAAACACATCATTTTTATCTGGCTCCTTAATGAATCTACTCTAAACACATGATGAGTAAATGCGGGGCATTTGTAATTTTGAAAAAGTGAACTCTCTGATTCTTCTCCAATATGAAATTTTAAACTCCCTTTTAACATCTATAACGGCACAGTGTGGCTAGAAATGGTCGACCTAAAATAATTGGCACATTAGCATCTTCTTCCATATCTAACACAACAAAATCAACAGGGATATAAAATTTCTTCACTTTTACCAGCACATTTTCCAAAATCCCTTTCGGATGAGTTATGGACCTATCAGCTAACTGCAAAGTGATGTTAGTTGGTTTCAAATGTTTCAACCCAAGCTTTCTACAAACAGATAAAGGCATCAATGAAACACTAGCACCTAAATCACATAAAGCTTTATCAAAACAGACATCACCCATAGAGATAGGAATAGAGAAACTCCCTGGATCACTCAATTTTGGAGGCAACTTTCTCTGAATGACAGCACTACACTCCTCAGATAGTGCAATCGTCTCAAAGTCTTTAACTTTTCTTCGGTTGGAAATGATCTCCTTCAAGAACTTCCCATAAGCGGAATCGAGCTAAAGCATCCGCAAAGGAATGTTAATATGTAATTGCCTAAAAATTTTCAAAATTTCTCAAACAACCTATCTTGCTTGGTCATATGGAGTCTCTGCGGAAAAGGCAGTGGAACATAAGGTTTAAGCGGTGGTGGCACATATATCTTTTCTTCTTCTTGTTCCACTTTCTCCACTTTTTCTTCATTAATCTGCTTACTCTCTACTTTCTTCTCATCGGTGGTCTCATTCACTTCAGGTGGTCTTTGGTTCCTCCTTGTCACCCAACCGCTTCCCACTTCTCAACATGATAGCACTACAATTTTCACGAGGTTGATTTCGGACTTGCTTGGCAGTTGACCTTGCCCACGAGTATTCATGGCGGAGGCCATTTGACTCACTTGCATCTCCAAGGTTCTATGAGCAGTAGTCAATTGATCTAACCTTGATTCGATTCTGTTAAACCGTTCAGTGTTTTCACTCAACAATTTCTCCATTCTCTCCAAACTTTCCTCCGTAGCTGTCTTAGGCGCGGATTGGTGTGACTTTGCTTGGAAACCAGGAGGGTTTTGAGGTCTTGCATTAAAGTCTTGAGCCCCTTGATTATTCCAAGAAAAGTTTGGATGATTTCGCCACCCAGGATTGTATGTGTTGGAGTAAGGATTGTTCTGCTGCTGAGGTTTGCTGAAATTAGAGACATATTGTGCACTTGCTAGTTGCGTACATTCGAGCTCACATGAGAACCTCCACGAACTCACAGACAGGTGGCATGGAAGACTGCATTAGCATTTACAAGATTACCCATCGCCTTGGTCGGTGCATCTATCTTTGCGTTCATGGCACTAAGCTCATTGACTTCATACATTCCAAAGAGCTTCTTGGAAACACTTCTCGAGTTCGACCATTGATTCCTATTCTTTGCCATAATTTGAAACAAGTCATAGGCATCATCTATTGACTTATCCATTAATGAACCTCCAGTGCTGCAGATCCACATTGTTTCTTGCAAAGTCCGTCAATCCTTGATAGAAAGTCTGAACTAGAGTACTTTTCTCAATACCATGGTGAGGATATTTTCTTTGCAATTCTTTGAATCTTGTCCATGCAGCATGAAATGTCTCATCATCTTCTTGAATAAACCCAGTAATTTGATTTCTCAATTTCACGCCTTATGTGGTGGGAAGAAATTGATCGGAATTCTTTGTACAGCTCATCCCAAGTTGTGATGGAACCAGGATCACAAGTATTCAACCAATTCTTCGCTTCTCCCTCAATGAAAAAGGGAAAAGTCTCACGGATTGCATCGACGTTACACCATTTATCTTAACAGTATCACAGATCTCCAAAAAGTTATCAATATGCGCATTCGGATCCTCATTGTTAAAACCGGAGAATTGATTCTGCTGCACCATCTGGATCAATGCTGGCTTGAGCTCAAAGGTATTCGCAGCAATGATAGGCCTAGTAATACTTGACCTAGCAACATTCTCCATAGGTGTAAAGTAATCCCTCAGTGTCCGAGTGTTTACTCTGTCGCCCATGGTTTCACTCTGATTCTGCTCTTTTCTTAGTTTTGCTTCTTTTCTGTTCGCACGAGCTGTTCTTTCTATCTCTGGATCAAATTGCAAAGTCTCAGAATTAGCACTTCGCATATAAAAACAAAAAAAAAAAAAAATATTTAAAAGAAATCACTAAAATAGTAAGACAATAAAATAAGTAAAATAAAAACAAATCTAAACTAATAAAAGAAAGTAATCTAAATTCGATATTAGCTGCCTTCCCCGGCAACGGCGCCAAATTTGACAAGCCGTCGTCACACTAGTCAAATAATAATTACCTACTTAATACAATTACTAGTAGTAAAGCAGAAAGTAGGGTCGATCCCACAGAGAAGGAATACTAATTACCAAGTATAAATTACTCCTATTATTATCTAGATAAATGATGATCTCAGATTTATAAACTTTAAACCTAAAATAAATAAATAAAATAAAAGCAAATAATATTAATTCAAATAATCAGACAAAGAAAACCTAGGACATTGGGTTCACCTACCGAATATTTGGGTTAGTTCAATTCATAACTATCTGACTTTTAACTTCCATTAATCTCACAACGATTCACCTAATTAAGAACTATACACTCTCGTGTTATAATTCTCTTACTTAGATTAACCCTATGACTACTCTCGTGACTATAGGGATTAACAAAAGCACATTAAGACCATTAAGAATCAAATATTGCAAAGGTTATAATCTTACTCTCGTAGCTTACAACCTAAGTTTATTATTCCTACGAACTAATACTAATCTTCCACTCTCGCTACTTCAATTAGTATCTTCGACATGCAAATAGTGGCCAATTACTTACACGAATTAAAACAAGAATAACAAATATTAATTAATGGAAAAGTCAAATAATAATAAACCAAATAAACCAAATAAATTCGGTGGCTACACCCAAGCCCTAGATTAAAAGAATTTAGCCACTAAACATTATTAAAAGTAATTCAATAATATTTAGAAACATCATCCTTTGAAATTTAATAAATAAAACAAAAGCAATAAAACCCGGAAAACTCCGTCGAAACCAAAAGCATAAATCAATTCAATTCAAGGCTTCAGCTTGCTTCGGTTCTCTGCGTTCGAAAGCTTTTCTCCTCAGTTGCTGGACGTTCAAGGCGGATGGTGTTGATGCGTAAGGTGATGAGATGGTAAGCTGCTGGTTCGGTGATGGAAAGGTAGAAGCAGGGTGGTGATGATGTGCTAAGGGTGGACTTGGCTGCTTGGTGGTGCGTGGATGTGATGGAGAAGAGGAAGAAGTTGGTGCTGCGTGTGTGATGATGGAGGAGAGGTGGTGGTTATGGAAGCAAGATGGAGGTGTTGCTGCCGGTGAAGGAGGAGGAAAGAAGGTGGTCGGCGGTGGATTGGTTTGCAGCGGCAAGGTGGAATATTTTTGCAACCGTAAGGTTTTCGGCCAGTTTTCGGTTCAGTTCTGTTGTAAAAATAAATCCCTAATCCTCCTTTTATAGGCTTCCGGCTAAACCCTACTCCTTGAAGAACAAGAAAACTTGTTTCCCAATTAGTATCGGGATTAAAATTCTTATCCAATTCCAATCCCAAATCAGCCGCATAACCAACATAACCTTTGGCCAATTTTCCAAAAACTTAATTAACCAATCCAAAATTGCATCATTGGCCCTCCAATTCTCTAAACTCATTAATTTCCTCCCCATAAATTGCTTCAATCTTCAATTCTTTCCCATTGAGTTGCTTTTAATTCGATTTTAGCTCAAAACTTCAACAATTCGTCATTTGAGTACAATTCCTACAATTAAAGATAAAATCACATAAATAGCATATTTGTACTCAAAATATATTGCAAAAATCACAAATTAGGGATATAATAAATAGGTAAAATATAAGCATATCAGTAATCAACTGCTATCAAGCCCAATCAAACTTGAACGGAATAAATGGGCTCAAAAGTTAGCCTATCAGACACTACAAACTTTAATTTGGTTCCAAAATCGCCTTGCCCGCTGGAAAACTTAGAGCAACTTCTCAGAGCTAATTATGAAGCTCTTCAACTCAATTGCAGTAAAATAGAACAAGAAAAAGGAGTATTATTCTATTTTTCATTCAATAACCAATGCTTGTCAACCCCTAGATCTGTGCCTGTGGTGTGTGAAATGGATGATTGTGAATATAACACCAAGACAGTGTGATGAAGATGAGGCGAACTTATACTAGATTATTTAATACTTAAAAGTACATTGATGCTGAATCTTTTAAAAGAAAAACCCGAAAAGACAAAGAGATATAAAACAAAAAAAGATGTCATTAAGTTACACTGAAATTTCTTTAAAGTTCATTTCTGCCTAATATTGCGAAGATAATATTATATACATCATTTCAGGAGACAGTCAGGCAGCATTCACTAAGCATCAAAGCAGTAAAAGCTTCCCACAACGAGAATTGTAAGGCCAAATACCAGCTTCTCATTCATGTACTCCAGAACCAATGTTGTGAATGATCAGTCTGCCTGCTGAACATTCCTCACCGTCTCTATTGCTTTGGCAGATATACCACTCATGTCATACCAAGGGTAAATTCCTGTATCAAAACCAGACAGCACCTGCAAAGTGCAAATGCATATAAATGTATTGCAAAACAACAACACCTAAACATGGAAATAAATAGCAACTGACTTTCTGCTCCTTAATGGAACACATACGAGTATATTATTGTTGAAGAAAAAGGTGAAAGAACAAACCCGCGTGTCTAATTCATCTCCAATAATGATAGCACCATCCCTCGTATTGGCAAACTGACCCTGTACATCCAGATCAATCAAACCAACATAATTTTGCAAAATCAGTTTCCAATATCAGTTGCCCAACCTTTCCGTTTATGCAGAGGATTAAAACTAAGAGACCCGAAAAAAAGGTTAAAACCTTAGGAGAAGGCGGCTGAGCTGGCATCTGAGCTGGGCGGTGAGATGGCCTCTGAGCTGGGCGGTGAGATGGCGGCATCGGCTGAGCTGGCCTCTGAGCTGGGCGGTGAGATGGCCTCTGAGCTGGGCGGCGAGATGGCTGCATCGGCTGAGCATGGTGGTGGACTGGCCGCTGGGCAGGCTGCATTGGATTTGGGGGTTGCGGCTTAATTCCAAGATGAAGCCAGGGGAAACAAAAATCAAAAACACAATCAAATTAATACAATAATGAAAAAAAAAAGTCAGAAAAGAAATGGAGAGATCATAGAGCTCACATCATATACGAAGCGAAAGAATCTTTCTCCGCGGGAATCGAAGGGATGCGGGGCGGGATAATGGATTGGATCCATGTATTGGTTTGAGTATTTAAATGCATCCAACCGATAAGTCTCATTTTGGGGATGCATGGCCTGATTGATGGCGTCGGGAGCAAGATCCGGCCAATCATCATCCGCTCTCAGCGGCGGATCCGGGTCTGGAAGAAAGGCAATCTGATCTTGCCAGTCCATAATTCAGGAAGAGAAAATGCCAAACTCGGGAGACGGTTTTGTCGGCGACGATGATGGGTAAGGTTTGTGGGCGAAAGTAACTATTCTAGGGCTTTGGTTAATAATGAGCTTCTTGGTCTTGATTTACTGGTATCTAAGCAAATAATTCTTGAAGCAAAAAAGCTTCGTCACTACACGTTATAAGGGCTCATACATTCCATTATCATGTTACCAACAATTTTACGTATATAAACAACAGTTTTTCACGAGACCATGAAAAGGTCCCAAACATTTACGAAGGAAGTTTTAAAACCATTAAAATACTGTTAAATAAGGTCTTATTCATAGTTTTTTTTTTTTTATATCTTAGTTCACTTATTTAGTAATAGTTCCATTTTCTAGGCAATAGCCTCATGCCGCAAAATGGATAATTCATCAACTGAAATGTTTGAGTTTTTTCACAACGACAAGACACAATGAATCTTCAGGAATGCCCACACCTGACCAAACACACACACACACACACACACACACACAATTGTTTCTTTTCCCCAAAAAAAAAAAAAGAAAGAAAGAAAGCCCAATGAATTAATTGAACTGGCAGCTAGTATGGTTTCTTTAATGGGCGGTAAAGAAGGTAAAGTACAAAAAAGAACTACCTTAAGTTGGTGAAGATGATCATTTGGTGGAAAATCAGGTTCACAATCGAGTTTGCTCTGGATCAATATTTCCAGTTTCCTTCTCATCATAAAAATTAATATATCCTATTAGAAAAGTGAACAATGAACTATACTTATTTCTGTTTGCAGATGATCCCGATCATATATTTCTCTCCGAAAGGTCGTATTAGCTAAGAAAAGGGAAACAAAAACTACTAATTAGCTACCCGAAAAATGTACCCATTTTGGATCGAACGATAAATTAATATCAATTGATTTACAAGTAGGTGATAAGTTTTTTGTGGAGGGAGGATCTAACTCTTTATAATTTGCTTATGTAGCTCCTTCTTCAAAGAGTGCTGATTAAACCTGGCCTATTTGGTAAAAGAAAAAAAAAAAAATAGCAGTCAAACAATATTGGACAAGCAACGGAAGGCCTCGATCGATCTATTCCGTGGTGATTAAATCCAATCGATTGTATGACAACGATTCATATTATTTTTCACTATTTTAATACTCACTCTGCTCCAAAATTATTGTGCAGTTTGAAATTTCACTTTTGGTACAATTTGTACTAGAAATTAGAATTCAAACCGGACAATAATTATGAGATGGAGGAAGTATATTAGTCTGTGACAGAGTGGGCAGAGGGCAGAGAGGATAATTACAATCCCTATTACTTTATAATCGGAGTGTTTCAACTTTTAATTCACTCGATTTGTCATTTGTAAACGAATGGATATCATTGCTGAAAATGAATCATCAATACGTGCTACTAGTGTTAAGTACTGTTAACTTCTATTGGTACAATACAAATGCTCCAAAAAACACTAAAATAAAAATATTAAAATCTCCATATAGTGTAGTAGCTGAGGTAGATAATTCAAGTGTCGTGAAAACGGTAATTCAGAGAGAGCAACAATTAGTAGGTTTTCATAACTGTCTTATTCTAGCTATTCGAGACTTCATAGATAGAGATTGTGATATTGGGATCAATGCCAATTGGACTGTTTTGGTCAATAGAGCTCAGTTACCAACATGCTGATATCGTAGATACTGCTCACTTTTAAGGAATTAACGTGTTTGTTTGTCCAATAACTCATTTTACTTTTTAAACATAAAATCCAACGAAAAAAAAATATTATCTAAATAACTTCTTAATTTACCTTTTAAAATGTTGTATTTTATCATTACACTATTGTAAAGTCTTCATTGCGTTTAGTTACTAAATTATTGTAAAGTGTTGCGTTTGATCACTGAACTATTGTAAAGTCTTGTATTTGGTCGTTATACTATTGTAAAATCTTCATTTTGGTCGCTGAACTATTTTAATTTCATAAATGGTCACTATACTATAATATTTTCTAAATAAAAAATTAAACTACCTTTTAAATCTCCTCTCAAATTCAAATCAAAAACTAAAACAAAACGTTGTCTAAACAAGCACTAAGTATCAGACTCTCGCTTTAGGGTTTCATCTGTGTTAAGGATTTACCATCTATCTATAGTATAATACTAAGAGAGAAACCAGAGAGAGGAAATCAAACTTCTCCTCCCGTTGACACATAGGACAAAATCCTATATGTCATTTTTCTATAGGTTGACACAAAAAATATTTACAACAATTACACTAACAGTCCTTTGAATTTTCAGTTAATAAATTGTTATCAATTTTTAATTAAAGTATATCAATTAATTGTATGGTAAACATTCTATTTTGCATTCCTTAAAATGAAAAAAAAAACCGAAAATATTTTAAAATCTCAACATTAAATAAGATTGATTTGAAAAAGATTATCTAATTGGCTTGAATAATGACATTACGTCTTGATTTGATCATTAAACAATATTAATGATTATTTGAAATTTAAAAATAATAAATACAAAATCATCAGTGATTCTTTAATTCAACATCAAAGGTGATTGATTTGAAAAGATTCTCCGATTGGCTTTAATAATACCATTACATATTAGTTTGATTATTAAACAATATTAATGTCTTTTTGAAATTCGAAAATAATAAATACAAAATCATCAATGATTCTTTAATTCAACATTAAAACTGATTGATTTGAAAAAAATTTCGATTGGCTTGAATAATGTCATTACATATTTGTTTGATCATTAAATAATATTAATATTTTTTTAAAATTCGAAAAAATTAAATATAAAATCACTCCAATATTAAACCATTCACTTTATTTTAACACAATCAAATATAAACATATGCCTAAAATCACTCTAATAGCATTAATCATGTGACTAAAATTATTATGTATATATAAGTGTGTTTATAAAACTCAACTGACTTGCAATTTCAGTTTACACCGGAATTTTTTCTTCTTCTTCTTCTTCTCTCTCTCGGTTAAATTGGTTCGACCGACCAGTCCGATCCAAGTCACTACAGAGGAGTATTAGGAAAAATTGGGGTCGCGGGAACTCATGTTTGCAGTAATACTTAATGAGAACAAAAATTTAAAACACTTTTGGATTCGTTCTGGTCATGATTTGAGCAAATCATTTGCCTCATAATTTTTCATTCTTTAGCTTCATTCCTTTATGCTCTCTTCACGCCGAATTTATTTGGAGCATATTTTATTTCAATCTTTTTATTATAACATACATCTAATATTTTTTAATCTCGTAAATCGTATTATTATTTTATTTACAGAATGGGTCGCGTATCGCGCGACAAATGATAGAACTAATTGAAAATATATTGAAACTGGTGTTTCTATCACTTTTGTTTCCGTTCGCGGAACCGTTCCCCCCTTTTCCATTTTTCCACCATTTCGGGCTAAATCGAAGCCTCTCCGGTGTCGATTCCGGCTTTCCCATTTCTCCATTTAGGCCCGAACCTAACAGTTTATTGAACAATAACAGAATCCATCTTTTCTTTTTTATAACCATTAATTAATAGCAAAAAATAAAAGTTTCTTGGAAGTAATTATTATTTTTGTACGGTCTCTTTTAAGATACATGCCAATACAGATTTTTCATTTAAACCAAAAAACACAAATTTCTCATAAAATTCAACTAAGTTATTATATTAAGATTATCTCTTTCGGTTGGGATTTTTAAAGACCCAAATGCCTAACTAAACTGTTTTTTTTCAGTCTTGCGATAATGTAGCCGCAATCTTACTTGTACATCACAGGTATTGAAACATGTCCAATTCAAAATCCTACTTATTATTGTAATCGAAATAATTTGGCTCTAAAATTGACGATGGAAGAATTATCAAAGTGGGAATGAAATGATTTAATAATACTCTATCCCAAGCAAAGAATCCAAAATAAGAGTGCAAATTAGTACTCCCTCTGTCCTAAAATTATTGCCCAATTTAAGATTTCACTTTTAGTACAATTTGAATTAGAAATGAAAACTCAAACTGGACAATAATTATGGGACGTAATTCAAAACAAATGATAAAATTGTTTTAAGATTAGGAAATGATAAAATTAATCTATTAAAAAGTTATTAAATTGAATTGGTTGATTACAATTCTAAATGGACAGAACTGTCATACGATGAATTTCAAAAGCTAATAATTAATAAATTCCCAAAGCAACAACTGAACCAAACCTTCGGTTACGTATCTACAAAACCTTGGCCTGTAGGCACATGCATGTCAGAATATTTGTCATCCAGATCCAAGAAAATGCAAGGAATTTCACTGTATGAGACTATGAAGTATGAAGTATATTACCCTAAACTAAAAGGAAATTGCAATCAGTCAACACAAATCAAAATTCAAAATTGCAACAATTCCGAAAGTTTCTACAAATAGGTTCTTTTTTTTTCTGATAACCCAAAAAGTTCAGCTATTTCTCTGTTTGCACAAAAAAGGGAAAAGAAAGAAAACTTTCTGAATTCCATAAATATCACAGTTACCAACTACACACAGTCACACAGTACAGTACACACATAATTATACAGTTGTTCACTCATCACACTCTCTCTCTCACAGAAAGCGCCACCCTCCACCACCACCTCTGCCCGTCCGTACCATCTTCCTTTACACCTCACCCACCGTCGCCGGTAAGAGAAAAAAAATTGTCAATGTCTTGGAATGAGTCGACTCGGTATCAAAGGCCCACTCGACCCACGTACCTTCCACCCCACCTCCGCGATCAGCCCCCCATAACCGACTCCATTTCCTCCTCGCCTTCCCGTTCGCCTCGATTTGGCCGGGGACGGGGACGTGGGCGCGGTTCTCGAACTAGAGCGCCAAACCAGGACCGATCATGGGGCGGAGGAAGCGGCGGAGGCGACCGGTTCAGGGAAACCTTCTCCGACCCTGGCCCGGGTCCATATCCGTACTCTCAGTCTCAGGCACAGCCATTCCGGTCTTCCGAGAGGTTTGATGAGCTCGAGGTCGTAGAAGAGGGTCTTTCAAACGTCAACCTCGACGCTTACGACGAGACGCCGGTGGAGACCAGTGGCTTTGACGTTCCGCCTCCGGTGACGTCATTTGCCGATGTCCATTTCAGCGCCGCGCTCATGGAGAACATCAAGCGCTGCAACTATGTGAAGCCGACGCCCATACAGCGCTACGCAATTCCGGTGGCCATGGCCGGACGGGACCTCATGGCCTGTGCTCAGACTGGGTCCGGTAAAACAGCCGCCTTCTGCTTCCCAATTATTAGTGGGGTATTGAAAGACCACGCTAAAACCCCCGCTCAAATCCTAGCGGAAGGCAGGGGAATGAACTTGAATATGGCCTGTCCTTTGGCCCTCATCCTTGCCCCTACCAGAGAGCTGTCTTGTCAGGTAGGCCCTTCCATCATTTTTAAAATTTTCGTTCAGGTTTGGCAAATCTTGTTTTGGCCTTTTACTTTCTTGGAGTTTTTTCCCCTAATTCGTTTTGGGATATAAGCGAGTAATAATCTGTTGCTCATCATCTGTAACCATTATTATATAGTAATTCGTGTTGGGCTTATGATTAAATTAACTTTGATGGTCTGTACTTAAGATTAAATTAACTTTGATGTGCTGGGCTTATGATTAAATTAACTTTGATGGTCTGTACTTATGATTAAATTAAGTGTGATGTGCTGGGCTAATGATTAAATTAACTTAGATGTGAAACTATTGTATGTTGAATTGATGTAGATACACGATGAAGCTAAGAAGTTTGCGTACAAGACAGGGGTGAAGATTGTGGTGGCATACGGAGGAGCTCCAATTGTTCAGCAGGTATTGTGTTTCCTTCATACTGACTGTATCTTATATCAGTAATCTGGTGCTAGCTTTGAAGGCGACCTTGATTTTCTTTTGTTTTGTAATGTTGCAAATCATTTACTGTAAATGGCTTCAGAAGCAAATGATAATCTACTGTTCTGCATGTCTTATGTTTCCTCATTTTTACTCTGTATTATACAAGTAATCTGTTGTCTCTTTTAGTGTAACCTTGATGTCTTTGGTTATGTAGCCTTGCACATGGTAAATTGCAAATGGCTTCTAGTGCAGCCAACTAAGATTAGTTTCTTTTCCTATTTGCTTTTAATGGTGCCAAGTTAGCCCTTTAGACTTACTGTTGATGATAAGCTACTCTCTTGTCACCAAAGTATCACTTTGGTTTCCTTATTTGGTTTCCTTATTTGGGTTCATACAATCCTTCCTGTTTAGTGCTCTGTTGGTGTAGGTTCACATGCATTACTTTGATGTACCATGCACTTTATTCACGATCTGGGTGGTTAATTAATCATGACACTTCGCATTGCATGCTGCAGTTTCGTAATCTGGAAAGGGGTGTTGACATCCTAGTTGCCACTCCTGGGCGCCTGGTTGATATGATAGAACGAGCTAGAGTGTCGCTTAGGAATGTGAAGTTCTTGGCTCTAGATGAGGCTGATAGAATGCTGGATATGGGGTTTGAGCCTCAAGTTCGGAGAATTGTCCAGCAAATGGAAATGCCACGTGCAGGTGTCAGGCAGACTATGCTTTTCAGTGCCACATTCCCTACTGAGATACAAGTCGGTATTCATACCACTGTGTTTCTGTATCTTCTATTCTTTATCTGGTCCAGTCTTTCATCAATTTGCTTGAATTCCCTCAAAATAATCAAAGTTAAATGTTGCAGAAGCTTGCGTCAGATTTTCTGTCGAACTACATCTTTCTATCTGCTGGAAAAGTTGGATCCAGCACTGATCTTATAGCTCAAAAGGTGCAATTTGTTGCTGACATGGACAAGAAGAGTCGGTTGATGAGCCTACTTATATCTCAGAGATCAAATGGCTCTCAAGGGAAGGTATAACAGATGAATTTTAACAATCTTTCTTTCTTTAGGTGTCACGTTCTCTCATTCATACAATTCCCTGCTTGAGCCAAAAATATGTTTATATTTTTTGCAGCCTATTTTAACCTTGGTGTTTGTGGAGACTAAGAGAGGAGCAGATGCTTTGCAGCAATGGTTATCCATGAAAGGATTTCCTTCCATTGCTATACATGGTGACAAAGTACAACTGGTAAGTCAAATTATAATGCCACCTGTGTTTTTTTTTTAGTGTATCTTGGTACTGAATATTTTGTTTTGAAGAAAGATGAAACGTATGCATTTTGATCATTTTGTACCGTCTTATGTTTGTCAAACTTTTTCATGAGCAGTGCTTTGAGGTTTTGTTGTGGTTGCACTTGTGACATACCTTACTCCTACTTATGAAACAGTTCTAAGCACTAACTCGCTACAGATTGTGAACTTCGGTTTTAATGTGCTTAAGCCATAGCTCTCTTTGGGCTACTGGTGTAGATAGTCCATGATTTTCTGGCATTAATAATGTGGACTCTTCTATTTGTTCTTATTAGTTTTAGTGAATTGATCTTATAATCCTAAGCATAATGTTATGCCTCTATTTGAGTCTTTTGCTTTTCTCTCGTAATAAATTGTAGGAAAGAGAACGAGCACTGAGATCTTTTAGGACCGGAGTGACGCCAATCCTGGTAGCAACAGATGTGGCAGCTCGAGGCTTGGACATTCCACATGTTGCTCATGTGATAAATTATGACCTGCCTAGAGACATAGACGACTATGTGCACAGGATTGGCCGGACTGGACGTGCTGGTAAATCTGGACTAGCCACTGCATTTTTCAGTGATAAAAATGCGCCCCTGGCAAAGGCTCTTGTTGAGTTGATGATGGAGGCAAACCAAGAAGTTCCTACCTGGCTTTTGGAATATGCTGAGACATACAGCAGCAGCTTCACTCCTCGAGTAAACCGCAGCAGTGGCATAAAGTTTGGCGGGCATGATTATAGAAGAGGTGCTTCCACCGGTACTGAAAACTATGACTATTCAAACCAGATAGCAGATCGTAGAGATGTTCAACCATATGGTGCTGGAGCCTCAAGCTCATATTCCTGCCATTCCTCTGATGCTGGTTATTCTAGTCCTGCCAGAGCAAATTCCTTTGGTGAGGGCTTGTACAATCACATGTATGGCTACAACCCTGTTATCGCCGGGGGTTTAAACTGAAGATTGCCTCACACCATCCTTGTTTTGGCGATACTTTCATAGATATATTAGGCAGGAAGCTTGGATACAATGCTCCGTGGTTTAGCTGATGTAGGCTAACAAGGTGATGGAATGTCATATATGCTTTTGGTTTTTTGGAGCATTAACTCTGATGTTGTCACCTTATTTGCTATCAGTATTCAGTAGTAGTATTGACAACCTAACAAGGTTTTGCTAAAGCTAGAGATGTGAAACTCCATTAGACATGTGCAAAGTCTCTGTGGCTGATGTCGTTTTTGTGCAGAGATCATTTGTACCAAGGATGATGCACTAGATATAATTATCAACTCTCTACTTAATCTACATTCCTCTTGGTTTATATCCCTTAATTTTTGCTTATTTCCTTTGATCTGCTTACTAGTGATGTGTTGTTTTAACCAAGAAATTCTTATATGTGATGAATTTGGTAACTTAAATGTGCCTCAATGAGAAGGCCTGATTAGGGTTGTCGATTGATTCAATAATGGTGTATTGTTTATCTAAATTTTGCATATAAACTTAGTATAGGAATGCAATATGTGTGTGGTCAATCGTGTTATTTCTTTGTCAAAAATTTGTTGCACATTGTAATTTACCCTCTTATTTTGGGTATATATTACTGACTACACACAAAGTTTCCGAAATCATAACTTTATTAATCAAAGGTCAAATATAATGTAAACGTTTCATATATTATTACGCACCTCATATATCTAATGTTAATGTCATCATAAAACTTCCATAAAATTTTATCAAATGGCATCGCTTTCTTCCAATATTACCCTTAACGCCATTAAGACTAATTCGACATAGGTCACACTGAGACGGGCATTAGAAGTCTCACAAAATTATATGCCTCTCCCTCAGGATCTATTTCCGCCGTCATCTTCATCTTCCTTTGCGTGTGTGTGTGGGTAAACATATGCTATTATTGTTTCTTTTATCTCAACATAAGAATCCCTGATCATTCTTTCTGATTTTAGGTGATTTCAGAAATCCAATTACATCTTTCATTCTCTCAAATTCAAAACCAAGTGTAGAAAAGAAAGTTTTTTGAACAATGGAGGAGGTTACTGAAGGAGTTAACAATATAAACATTGCCGGTGGTGGCGGCGACGGCGGCGGCGGCGATCTTCAGAAAAAGAATCGCATTCAGGTTTCTAACACCAAGAAACCCCTTTTCTTCTATGTCAACCTCGCCAAGGTAATAATATTAATAATGTCCTTTTGTTTGGAGCTCTGTTCCATCAAAACCATTAAAACCAGCATCCTTTAGAATTTTATTTTTTTTTTTCCTTTCCTTTTAAATTTGGGATAGCCCTTTTTGTTTCACCTAAAAAAGCTTGATGAATGGCTGTTGATTCGTAACGTTTGTCCCCCCAATTGCATTGTTGCAGAGGTATATGCAGCAACACAAAGAAGTTGAGCTCTCTGCACTTGGATTAGGTACTAATTTACTTACTAATTTTTTCAATAATTTCATATTGATGTTTCTTCGTTAATCTGTTATGATTCAATCCTTGATTTGGATCAGGAAAGGGGGTGATTAAGAATGAATGGCCTTTGATTTTCACATCGTTTTAGATATTGGCTTCATTGGAATGTAGTAGTAAAATATCTCTGCCATAATGTGGTTTTGTAGGGTTTATGTGATATAGCTGCAATTGATTGTCCCGCGAATTTGAACTTTTGTTTTGACATTTTTTTCTTTTTGTTGCTTCTGTTTGCAGCTATTTCCACTGTTGTCAGTGTTGCTGAAATTTTGAAGAACAATGGATTTGCTGTCGAAAAGAGTAAAGTCTAAAGGCCTCTGTGAATGAGATGATAGTACTTTATAATTTATAAGAATAGACCTATATTTGCCTGTAGTTGTTAAGGTCGTTCTTGCATTTTCTTTCTTAGAGTTTCTTACTGTTATTTCTTCAATGGTCAATTAATACAATGATCTGATTGCAGAAATCACCACATCCACTGTTGAGATAAGAGATGATTCAAGAAGCCGCCCTGTTTCGAAAGCTAAAGTAAGTTCTCTCTCTGATTCTCATACTTGCTAGCTTTTAGATTGCATTGTACTTTTTTTTTTCGTTATCTCGAATGTCTTTCCGCTATGTTTATGTGATGATTCCTGGAATTTATCTATTAGATTTGAAATATGCTTCCTAATGTATGCAAAACAATATTTCTTTCAGATCGAAATTGTTCTGGGAAAGACGGAGAAATTTGATGAATTGATGGCAGCAGCTGCAGAGAAGGAAGCTGCAGATGGTGCCGCAGAGTAGAGACTTGAAATGGACTTGTTTTTGTCGTCTAATGTCCTTCCGTTCTTCTTGTATGTCTGAGAGTTTGGTGAAGCTAGGCATTGGCATGCTATTTTGTTAGCCAACGATGTGGCAGTGAGCTGTTTTGCTATTTAGAATTAAATTTTGGCGTTTCAGATCTCCTGTACTGTTTTTCTTTGAACATCTAACTTGATGATGATGTACTACTGGAGTAGGGGAACATGAGTGCAAATATGTTTGATTTTCATGAATCTTATTCTCAATTGTGCTAGTTATTTTTTACCTCACCAATGCAATACTACCATGAAGATTTCTTGCTCCATCATGCATAGTTGATGCACTTGATCTGCAGATTCAGCTGAGTGTGTTACTAATCTGCATGCATAGTTGATGCACTTGATCTGCAGATTCAGCTGAGTGTGTTACTAATCTGCCTGTCCAGCAAACAGCTCGTCTGTATCACTTGGTTTGCCCTTTGATATAATATTGGCTTTTGTATGACTGGAACTAGCGATTTGGGTACTCTTTACTTTTGTATTCTCATATCTCAAGTTCGCATTTCTGGAAACATTTTGTAGAGCTGACTAGCTGAGTATCATATCACAGACAGCTTCATGTAATAACTACGAAGCTAATCCGAACATTAGAGCCACGAATTGTTTAAGCAAATTCACGTGTAAGCTACTGTAAAAGCTACTAACAACTATCAAGGGTCAAATGACCAAGCATTACAACATCCGCCTATCAAAATGTCAACTCAGATTACTAACATGCATGATTTTTCTCAAGCAAAATCAACGCACAACTAATAAATTCACATTTGTTATGCAAGTCAAGAGAAAGGACTTTATTTGTTTCTTCCAAGAAGCAGAATTTCCGGCAAAAATAAGTCAAGAGAACCTCAAATCAAAAGATACAATCCTCATAAAAATTCTGGCTCTGTATCGAAACCTAAAACATCTCTAAACAGTCAGTCCCTTTTTCATCTCTTAAGCTTCTACGCATCTTCTTCATTTTCCACCAGTATTTTCTTGCAAGCCTCATAGCACATAAAAGAAATTCCAGCTGCAGGTACTAGTTTCATGCAACTTGGACCCAATCCTTTGTACAATCCAGGGACACCTTCATGCTCAAGTATGCTTATAAGGGCATGAAGCATGTTCTGGTATTGTCTCCCATTCAGAGCCCCGGCTTGCATGTGTTTCCGAGCCACCTCGAGAGGGAAAGTTGCACTACTTGAAATAGCCCCCGCTGCCGATCCTATCAAAAGAGTCGCTATATTTCCAATATCCTCCCGCTTGAAGATTTTCTTGTATGCCTTCCTTAATGAGTCATAAGCAAAGTAGTTCGTAGCGGCATATGGAATAACCCCAATTAGGCTTGGGGTGAGGCCCCTGTAGAGCTCTGCTGGTCCCTCCTCTTTCACAATTCTCACAAAAGCATCTAGAAAGTTTTTGTAAACTCCCCTCTGCAATAAAGATTCAAGAATGAGAAGGCATTAGAAATGCTACAGATCAGGAGCATCCTGATGAGCAAACTATTGGGTCAATCCCACACTTACCTGCACAGTTAGTCTCGTTTTTAGCAGCTCAAGCGGATATGTGACCAAAGTTGAACTAATTCCAGCCATGGCACCAGCAATTGGTGAAGCAGGGAAAGGCAGTATTGGTTGCTCTCCAGGTTTAGGTGTCAACTGCTTCTTAACCGTGTCATAAGCAAACAGCTGGGAAGTTGTGAACACAAAAACATAAATAGAGATATATTTATTATCTGGTTCAGAACAAATTATGAAGAAGTATCGGGAGAATGCATCTTTGGTAGACAGATATTTTGTATAAACTCACATTGTTTAATGACTGAAAGTCTTTGTTAATAAATTATCATTGTGAAGTACACAGACCTCAATCACAACATGGTAGCAAGAGTAGAGATAATCTGAAAAGATGCTGGTCACTTTAGATATCCTGTCTATAAACTGCTTACACAAGGTTCAAATCTGACAACGAACTAGTGAATTTTAGAGTACTGAAAAGTTTTATGATGAAACTAATAGCTCTAAGAAGAAAGATGGATGATAAATGTAAACCGGGACTGCACAATACATGAAGCCTAGAGCAAAATTTTCATTAGAGAACACTTATATTCACATCCTTATATGGTTTCTTCCAGCAAAAAGCCAAAACTAGCTAAGGGACAAGTAGGGTGAAAGCAAGATGCATCAGTAGTATAGTCACAGAGTGTGGAAGCAATACGCCGCAATTAGCACTTACTAATAATATTAGGCAAGCTGGTGAACCATCATAACATGACAATATCATTAGTAGCATTTCCTTTCCATCAATCAATCAAGCTGGTAATTCAAAGAAGATAATTTTTGGAGATCACAAACTCAAATAGGATGATCTAAAACTAAAAATTTGAAATGAGCCCGAGATACACAAGCTGAAAAGACAAGGAGGGCATTTAACAGGAAATAAGCAACTCAATGTGTAAAACTGATGGTATCATACAAAATAAGCTAAGAACTGAATCCCAAATAGGTGAACCATGCGAGACCTACTAGTACCAAAGTCTCTCATTATTTTTATTTTTCTAAATAGGAATAAAAAGTAAAAGAATGAATAATATGTAATATACCTCTATAGCCTTGCTTGGTGCAACCCTGATGACATTCACCATATTACCTCTAAACAATCCAGTCCACCCTTCTTCATTCATAATATTCTGGAACACTTCATTCGTTGAGCCTCCACAGCTGCCCACCATTAGATGTGTCCTTATTGTCTCCAACGGCGCAACTGCTGTCCTAGACACTGCACCTGCGATTGCGCCACTAATCAACCTTCTCAATGAAGGGTTCTCAACCTTTATTTTAAATTTAAAACCACCCTTTTTAGCTTTCTTCTCCTTCAATGTCCTTTTCTCTCCTAACTCACACTCACCAGCAGCCAACAACTCCGGAACTGCTCCCCCAATCCTAATATTAGGTTCTGTCAACATGCATTTCTCCATTAAGTTGGACTTTGCAAACTTCAAGCCATTATCAGCAGAACCCGAATTCGGGGATACGCCAAAACCCATTCCAACTTGTCCCACGCTTGCAAAAAACCCACCCCGGCTATCACTTTCCTTTATATCCAAGGGGCACCACAGAAAACCAATTCCAGAATTCGCCAATACCACATCACCACCACCACTGTCATTAGCCCAATTCAATCCTTTCCTACCCATTTCAAAATTTTGCAGAGTACAACTCCTCTCCTTCACCGGGGGCTGCTAACATAGAACCCAAAAAGATTCAATTTTGGCAAACAACATATTAATTCTTGACATCAAATTTGATGCCAAAAATCAAAACTTTATTCAAACACAACCGAACCAAACAAAACAACTACTACTAAATACTAATTAACAGCATAAGTACATGAATATTCTATAAAAAAAAAAGATTCCAAAAGTACAAGGAAGGGTGATGATTACCAGGTTGGCTGCTGATCAAAATTACCACCACCTAAAGAGACCCTTTATTCTCCTTCTTCTCAACTAAGTCCCCTCTATCAGAAAAGAGAGAACCCAGAAGAGGAGGAGAAATTAGTATGCGGCCAGTAGAAACAAAAACAAGGGGAAAATAGAAATGGCGTAACAGAGGATTGCTTTTCCTTTATATGAACTCTTTAGTAGTATTTTATTTCAGATGCTCTAGCTTTAGCCTTAAAAAAATTTGGTTTGTGGCCTTTGACGGTGGCCAAGAAGGAGGCAACAACAATGGCAGTATTCCCTTTGACTACATACGACTCCTAACACCTAACCATTGTTGAGTTTGGGTATTTGGCAAATGTACATTAAAGACAATAACCAAAAGTAGGATTTGTGGTTTGTGGGTTCAAAATCTGCACTTTTTGTTGACCTTTTTTCTATCTTTACCTATTCATCAATCGGCCCAGGTCCACGTATGTTTCAGCTCGATTTTGGATACTTTTTTTTTTCTGTTTTATTTTGGTAGTGACATTTATGTAAAATGCAAATGTATTTCCCCCCTTACAAAAATTATTGTTCTTGTTTTTTTTATTAATTATAAGTTGTTAACGTTCCAACTAGATAGTAACTAAATTTAGTAAAATGATAATTGATCATAAGTGTAACATTTAACAAAAGTGATTGGAAGTGAAGAACGAGAGGATAATATCTCAGATTGTGTACTTCAATTACAAATTAAAGATTGTTAAATTAGATGTTTGAAGAAAATACATTATACTCCCTCCGTCCCATAATTATTGTCCACTTTGTCCAAAAAATTTTGTCCCAAAATTATTGTCCAATTTGACTTTTTATGGATCAAGTTACACATTTGTCCTTAGTAAAAAACATTATCCATAAAATTTTAGTAGTTAAACAATTACTTATGTAGGGGTATATTCGGTTGTTTAAGGTAAAATATAGTTAAGTTTGACAAAAAATAAAATTTTTCATTTTAGTAAAAGTGGACAATAATTATGGGACGGAGGGAGTACTTCAATCTTCAATAAAAATTTTTTTTTTGACACTTTCATCTCATACGTCTTGTCACATTACCATTTTTTTTGGCACGTATCTAATTACCATTTAAAATCTGTTTATCATTTTATTAAGATGTTGGTGTTATTTTTTTTAAAAAAAAGATGTTGGTGTTAATTATAAGAACATGTTCTAAACTGTGATGAGCACCTTAAAAGTGTCACAATATCCTATATTGATAATAATTAATATTTCTAGAATGAAAAATTCCTTTAAATTATGTGTGTTAAAGATGGTATGCTGCCTTTCCCATCGAATTTCACTAGTTAGAAGAAATACTTTAGGTATATGTTTACTAGTAATTTAATACCACTATCCTTATGGTACAAATATATTCTCTAGCCTCAAAATAATTATCTTAATGTAATTTTTAGTATAACAAATGTTACAATTATTATGAGACAAAAGGGAACAAAAAAGCTAAATGTAATAATATTTGATTGTGCTTCCAAACTTTTGAGCCACCTCAATAGGTAAAAGAAATTTGTTCATACGGCCAAAATCCCAATTTTATGAACAAACTTTTTTGGTTTTATCGCGACTTCAATTTTGCACTAAATTTTAAAAACTTTATTTTCCACAACATATTGTGCTTCAACAAATTCTTTGGGGAAATTTCATTATAACACCTGTGTATTAGTTTTCCTCCATAGAATCTGGATAAATGTATTTCGTCCCCTTCCAATATCTCACTAACTTCCAGGACCACCCAATATCGGCTTTGAATTTGATTAGATTTTACTCATTACAAAATTGAAACTACGAAAATGTAAAATGATCGGTTTCTTTTTGTCATAAATGATCCTTTCTAAATTGATGGTGGTATCAAAAAAAAAAAAAAAGGATTTTTATAGTAAGCTTGTAACAACAATATGTTGAACAAAATTTTGCAACGAGAATAGATTAAGAAACACTGAAACACATGACAGGAAGAAAAGAATTTAGAATGGTTACTGATTTCGAATTTGGATTTGCTATGCACGAGCTTCCCCGTGAGCCAAGATCTTTTGAATGAGAATGATAGGCGATATTTTTGGTCATTGCCAAAGTCGCTTTCAACTTCTCTTTCAGGGCTACCTATCCTAGGCAGTGTGGAGTGATCCTCAGCAATACATATTCAAACAGCAAACCTATATTTTCCTACCCTTCATATGCAAGTTAGAAGGCCAAGATCAAGAAAACGCTACATTTTAATAAAATCGAAAGCTGGAGCCAGGCATAATACTTCGTTCTCATGAACTGTGTATAAAAAATCATACAAAACTGCTTTTCATACTCTCTTTTACTATTGAGCCCAAAGAACTATAAAAGCCTAAATAAATAAAAAGAAACGCATAGCGATCTATTGAGTTAAACGAGTTGACAGTTATTTTGATTTTTCTTTACTAGAACCACCCTTTTTTGATGATTTCTTGAACGATTGCTTGCCTGCCTTTAGTTTGCCGGAGTTTCCAGATGACTTCCCCTTCTGATTCCTACGTTTCTTCTCCTCTTTAACCTTGTACATGGTTACCGCCTACATCCCCACCAATACAAGTTCAGACCAAATGCAGAGACAGGTTTCGACTGGATCCAGAAGAATACCAATTATACAGCAATAACGTACCTTTTCAACATTGAGAATCTCGTGTGAATGCTTCGATAACAGCTTGTTCAAAACTTTATCAGTTTGCTGCTTCTCTAAGGCACCCATTCCTGATCCTTCGGCAGCTGGAAGGAACTGAATGGTGTGAATATACAGACGTGTTAGTAACAGTAATTCATAGATACTAAACCACGAAAGCTTTCAACTGAAACTTCAAGAACCACCAAGGAATGATTAATGACCTTCCGATACTTCTTGTCATGTTTCGGGGGTTTTTCTCCAGGCAACTTTTTGTCAAACTTCCCGCCACTTGCTGTTGCAGTAGCCGCCATACCAGCAACATCTTGAAGTGCATCCTTCCCAATTTTGCTAGGTGCAGCTTCACTCCCTGTTATGGGTAATCTTGTGGCAGCAAGCTGAATATGGCTGCAACACATGATGTCACTCAGATTAAAGCAGTAAAACATATTAGATTCCAGGCTTGCAGCATGGTAAATAAGCTAACATTCATGCACAAGTCTAATTACATAAAGAGGTTGCAAGATTGGAAAAGCATTCATTTCTACAAGCTGTAAAAAAGTATACTCTAGAAAGGAAGCTTGGTTTAGGATAAAGCGCCATTCTCCCACACCAGCATTTTCTAGCTACCTATAACTTTTCATTTACACATGAGCAAAGCTATGGCAAGAGACTTCAAACCATCCTTTGAGAATTTAGATTATAATCATATGCAAGAATCACATGTTTGAAGAATATTGTCAGAAAAGAAATAAGGAAACGCACCCAGTCAGACAATAAAGTTAATACAGAAGTCCATATTCAACTCGCCGACTTATATGCTTATAAATATAGCTCAGCACATGATAGATAATAGTGATGAATGACAGTCTTAGAAAAAGAAAAGGAGAAATTAACATTGCAACAAGAACCTCACGATAAACTACAATAGCTTTCTGGCACCAGCTTGGAAAAATCATGGACAATAGCCTCATAACAAAACACAAACACAAACCTTGGTAAGGGGGCACCAGCTTTTACAGCTTCTTTCAAATTGTGCAACCGGTTTTTCTCTTGTTTTTCGACTCTCTTTTTCTTCTCTTTTTGCCTCTTGGCAAAAGGGTCTTCTCCTGGCTCTGAGCATAACCATGCATGAGCATCAAACCATATGCTATGAATGCTATAAAACTCCAAGAATTAAGTTACCACCCCCTCTCTTCTCTAACAAACCAACCCAAAAAAAGAGGGGGGGGTGGCGAAATAAGGAAGGAAGGGAAAAAGAACCCAGTACATCAAACCAAAGAAGAGAGTAAAAAATGTTTAAACTTAATAAAGAGAGACAGAAAATGATAACTTGAGAACTCAAAATTGTATACAATGCCTAGAGCCCCAAGAACTTTTACCAGTCCAAAGTCCAAACCGTATGCACTTTTTACTTATAAATATTGCAAATAACATGATTCCCGATAGTAACCAAGAGAAACACAGCATCCACCCCAGACAGCTATATTGGTTCCCACCGTCACTCTCAAAATCATTAAACATTGCCATACAAGCACCATCTTAAGTGAGCATACCAGCAGTATTTCAACTACAAACCAAAGAAAATGCTCAAACATATACTTAGTGCTTATGTGTACTAAATGACTGTGAACCAGAGGTAAATTTAGCTAATATCGGAAAAAAAAAAATTAAACTGGCAGTTTGGTGCATACACCATGAACACAAGTCCACCTGATCTGACTCAATTTGTTATTAATTGCAGATGAAAATTGTTGTGCAACAATAGTCTGATGATAATAGTTAATAAACATTAGTAAAAGGACATTAACAAAGACAATGCGAATAAAAAACATTGACAACAATATAAGAGAAGTTATTACATACCATCAGTCATCTTGGCCTCTATGATAGGTACATCATTATCGTCATTGACACGATCATAACCATGGCGTCTCTTCCAAGTGCCTGTCTGCTCATCAAATACAAGCTTTTCCTTTTTGTGTTTCTGGATGCCTGTAGATAATCATTAAATAAAATGATAATAAGCCAATACATCCCACCCTATTATAATAACATAATAAGAATTCTTTTCGTAGAACACAGGCAATAGTTGCACACAAATCAGTATTTTGAAGTTGACGTGATAGAATGCATGAAAAAGTTCAACAAGGATAATCATTTCGCCAGGAAGTTAGATGCAACTGTCAATGACTAACCTTTCTTTCTGGCAAACTCTTCCCATCTGGTAGGGGGTTTTGGTTTTGGAAGCTAGGGAAGAGAAAACGTTTTACATTAGGACAGCATCGCAATGCAGAAAAGATATACAAGCGGTAAAAGAAATTAGCAGAGAACATTGCTAGCAACATGGACAACTAAAAATATAAAAAAAAATAGGTTTGTGTGTGTGTGGGTGAGAGAGAGAGAGAGGAGGACAGGATTATGACACGGGAATAGTCAATTAACTTGAGAACTGAGCAAATAGCTTTGGTTCTTAATGTTCCTAGAATTTGGATCCAAGAAAAACCAACAAAACAGATGTCAAGAAGCAAATAAAATAATATGGAGATGCACAAATGAGCAACCATGTATTTCTAGTCTTCCCAGGATTAGGGTCAACGTTGGCCTATCTAACACAGATCACATATCAATTATACGAAGTCATTTTCAAGGCATCAGCACAAGAAACCTATACTCAAAGATGCTTTCCACCATAGCAAACTATACAAAGTCAGTTATGCTTTCCACCATATTAATTAAAGAGTAACAGAATCTATTAATCTAACAAAAGCATGCCCAAACTCATTTTCATTGTGTGCGACTGGGGTGCCTAAAAGCATAAGACCAGTCAAGCTTATTCAATCATGACCGGGGGAGATTCAAATGACAATCGAAAAAGCTCAACCCGTAGAATAGGAAAGGAAAAAAAGGCTTACAGGCTTCTCACGAGGCAACTTTGTTGTTGGAGAAGGCAAAGCAACAATCGGACCATCAGGGTCTTCTGTGGAAGGCAAATTGAAGAGGGCATCTGCAACTGCTTGTACTAACTTCGTGCCCTGTTCTAAAGCCAGCTTCACCAGCTCCTCCCTAACGTATCCAACAAATAGCAGCAACAGAAACCCAATAAGTTCAGATTACACAGTGTCCCGGCACCAAAATGTCGAAACAACATCATTAAAAAAAACACAACTAAGATAGCAAAACTAGCCCGTTGGCAAAAATAAAAAAATAAATAAATCAATTTTTACTACCAAGTTTGCATCTTTGCTACATTACAAACAGAATACGCATAAATTCACAGTTCTTCAGCTTAAAAGACTACAACTAACCACTCCCAAACAAGAAGGTTTGTAAGCATGAAAAGGGCACTTGAAGAAAACAGTAAAGGCATCATAGAAACATTATACCAGAAATACAAAACTTAAAGGGGAAACAGCATCATACAAAAGAAGTAATAAAGATTAGAAAACAGGGAGGAGGAGATAAACCTTGCTGGTGGAGAAGAAAAGCTGTGACTACGGTCGAACGCCATGAGGTTTCCGAGGTCTATATCGTATTCCGCCATTTTTTTAACACTCCAATCTTCTGCTGCTGCCCTAGTTGAGTATCTAAAAAACCTGAGATATTTTTTCTTCTGTATAATTTTTATAAGTTAAAAAGAAAAGTGGACGCCTCAACGTAGGAGGGACGGCCAAACTGCCCAGCAAATAGAAAGCTGCGAGGGTTTATGTTGAGTGAAATGTCCTAAAATAATTTTCTTAAATTTCATTTTGACCACTAATAAATTTGTAACGTTACAGTTTGGTACATCATTATTCCACATCAATTTTATTATTTGTCCCCTAAAAAAATTGGTCCACTGATAAAGTCAATATGAACTATTTTTTTTGGACCAAAGAGATTGCACAAACATTTGACAATAACGATTAGTAAGTTGTAACTAAGATGGTACTTGACAACTTGTAATAATCACTACAATGCCATAATAAAATAAAAATATTTGGTGGTTTTTATTTATTAGTCAGAATCAAGATGTAATATTAAAAATAATATTTCACATAATAATAGAAGACATAAAAATTGAAAGTGCTTCTGATATCTTATTTGATAATAATACGTGGAAATGTTCACAAAAATTGTTCAATAAGATTTTTTATTTTTATTTTTTAAAAAAAGTATAGATTTTAACTTATCGTTGATTAATCGAATTAGTTAATAAGATTTGTTCCATCTTTATTACTCACTTCAACGGACACAAACACACATATGTTTCATGTATACCTACTCTACTAAGAGCAATTGCAATAGTTGGACCATTTTTGGATAATATGTCAATGCCATCTCACATGGTTGCCTGCACTACATCCTCTTCCAATTTTGTTCACAATGGTTGAACGAGAAAGTTTATAAGTCCCATGATGTTTTCTTGATTTTTTTTTTTTTTGATTTTTTTACTGCTTTTTTTTTTCAAAAAAAAAAGTGCAGTGAAAATTAAAAAATTAGGCCCAAATGTCATAAAAGAAACCTACTTTTTGGAGCTGGTCTGTACTAATCGGTTGAGCTTCTCTAACCCTTTCACAATGGTTACCCCGTGAAAAAAGGTGGTCCTAACTCATTATCTACATTACTCGGCTTTGTTTTTTTTTTATGGTATTTTCAGATTAATATATTAATAACTGTCTCATCCCAACATATCTTTTTACATTAATACACCTTTTTACATTTCCAATACAAAAAACATCTAAAAACACACACTAAAAAAACGAAACAAACAATCAGGGTGAGTTTGTTTGACATTAATTTTATAATATCATTAATTTTATTATAATAAAATGACATTATAATAAAATGACACTAAAATAACTGTCATTATTTTCAGAATCTTAATTGCTTATTTTATAATAAAAAATGACATTAATTTTAAATTATTTTTGTTCATAGAACTACGATAGATTAATGCTTAATTTGATATTTTATTTTTAATAAAAAAAGATAAGTCGATGTCCTTTCAAAGCAATGTTCAATGTAAGCAGATGTACAAATTGTGATTTACCACACAAGACAATTGATCAAATAGGGAAAAAAAATATTATTATTATTTATTATTTTTTTTGTCAAAAAAAGAGGATGTTGATTTTTCAAGATGGAACATCTTGCTTTGTATCAGTAACTCCAATACCAAATTACATATTGAATTCAAATGCAGGGATTAAAAGTGCAATTTCGCTTTCCAATTAGTACTAGTATTTCTTTTCACTTTTTCGGAATCCGGATCATCCCCAAATTCCAAAATTGGGGTGTTCTCTCCAAAATTGACCCCGACTCTACCAAACCCTAGATTGATCGATCAGAGCGACAAAACCCCCCAATTTTTTGGATCAAAAGTTTTCTCTCGACTCTGAATCTTTCCAAGCATACCTCTGTGAAACCTATCAATTATATCAACTTCTCCCCAATCTCAACTTATCCACCGTTGTCTTTCATTTGTTTTGGCTAATTTTGGTTTAGCTGAGTCGATTTGATCTCAGTTCACATGGATGGGAACAAAGATGAAGCTCTGAAATGTTTGGAGATTGCCAAGCATTCACTCCAATCAGGCGATAAAATCCGTGCCCTTAAGTTCCTCAGGAAGGCCCGGCGTTTGTTCCCTTCAATCGAAATCGACGATCAGCTTTCCGAGCTCGATTCTTCAGGGCCCGCGGAAGCTACTGATGAGAGCGCCTCGAAACCATTCGCCCCACTTGACAGCGGGCCTCGCCGTAGGACTTCGGCAAATGGGCCGGCGGCATCTTCATCTTCGTCGTCAGCGGCGTATACTGAAGAGCAGGTTACAATTGTGAGGGAAATCAAGAGGAAAAAGGACTATTATGAGATATTGGGGTTGGAGAAAAGTTGCAGTGTTGAGGATGTGAAGAAGGCCTACAGGAAATTGTCCTTGAAGGTTCATCCTGACAAAAATAAGGCACCTGGTGCTGAAGAGGTTTTTAAGATGGTTTCGAAGGCGTTTCAGTGTCTGAGCAACGAGGAAAGTAGGAAAAAGTATGATCTTGTTGGGTCTGATGAGGCTGTTTACGAGACCCAGACTCAGTCTCGTGCGTATAGGCGTGGAGGTGTTCAGGGATTTAATGGGTTTTACTATGATGGGGACTTTGATGCCGATGAGATTTTCAGGAATTTTTTCTACGGAGGTATGCATCCAGCTACCACAACGCAGTTTGGTGGGTTTAGCTTTGGTCCTGGTGGAGTGGGGGTGAGAATGGGTGGTAATCACGGTTCTAATGGTGGGATGCTGAGAACATTAATTCAAGTACTGCCTGTCATTTTGATATTGCTGGTGAACTTTTTGCCGTCGCAACAGCCAATTTATTCCCTTTCAAGGTCTTACCCTTACGAATATAGGATGACCACGGAGAAGGGGGTAAATTATTATGTCAAATCCGAAAAGTTCGCTCAGGAGTATCCACCAAATAGTAGAGAGCGGGTGGCATTTGAAAGACAGGTTGAGGGCGACTATCATAGAACTCTCTCGCATTACTGCCGAATTGAGATTCAAAACCTTCACTGGGGCTACAAGCGCGAAACACCGAACTGTGATGCTTTGAAACAGTTTGAGGCAGCAAGGGGTTGAGAGAGCCAAAAACTTGCAGCAATAGGTATTATTTTGTTTGTATATTTTTAAGTCTAGTACAGCATACATTATTAAAGTTGTTTTCCTTGTCTTTTGTGTTTTTTATCCTGCTGAATTCTACCTGTATCACAAAATTATGTTGTAGCCAAACTGCCCAAACCAACTGTTTCGATTGGGTGTTGAGTAGCTGGCTTTCTATGGTCAATTCATATATTTGAAAGGCATTCACATTATAAGTTAGATAATATCTTCTTTGACATGAGGATCTTCTGTCCTCTTGATAAAAATGAACATGCCTAGTACATTTTTATCAAGAAATTTAGATCTTTTAAGAAATCAATCTCAAAAGTGATGACAATCTCTGGAATGGGATTTGGCATTTATTTCAACACATATGGACTGATCAAAGTTATTCCTGACGAATTTGAGATTTGTCTGCATTTTTGCTAAAACTCATCAGTTAGTAAAGGTGATGGATGATGCGTACACTGAGTCGGCATCTGTAATGGGAGAAGCGTGTTTGTATTATTGTTCTAATGTTTAAAGCTATCAAATGCAACCTCTTAAAATATAATAGAGTATGTGTAGACCCATTTCTTCAAGTAACCATTTTTTTGTCTGAATTTTCATTTCATAAATTTAAGTCAAATGGATTATTGCCACAGAATCCATGTTCGTATTTTGATGCCTGGTCATTAAATGGTGGACCAAATAGGTGATTAAATGATTCCATATTTACTCTTATTGTGTTCGTATATGAGTTGTCTGTTTCACTTTTTCTTGCATTTTTATGAGTTGTTATGAAAGCATTGCTATCTACTTGGGAAAAAAAATGCGTTCCGGTTGTGTAGTAAGAATAAGCAATTCTTATTCAGGATTAAGAAAGAAAATTTGTAAGAGAAGCACTCACAGTTGTCCTTTCGTGCAGGTATTCTGGCACAATATAAAGGGGCGCAGTTGGAATACAAATCATACAGATCGTTGGATAAAGTCTTATTTGGGCAATTCAGGTTGCCTTTTGTGGAGCAAGTCCCTTGTATTTCTAGTTCCTCAATGATCAACCTTACCTTGGTGGATAGATACATGAGAAATTTAATCAAAGATTGCATAATGAAGCATATTATGTTATATTTACAATCATTCATTTGACCATGCCCAACTTGTATGCAAATCATTCAATAATGCTTGCAGATTTAAATTTTCACAAATTTTGGTTACTAGTGAGTATTGGTGTAAGCTGTGTGATCAGTGGTTTTCATTCGTGCTTAAGCACCTATTTGGAGGTTCCTTAGACCTCTTAGATATATGATAAGCCAGTGATTGCTAAATGTCAGGTGAAACTTCCATAACATTTGGAAGATTTCTGGAAGTGAAGGAGCCTCGTGCAGTGGCCAAAGAAGGAAGTGAATTAATGTATACCTTTGGGCTTGTAGAACTTTGTAGACTGTGTTTGACGAGAGTGGCTTTGTGTTCATTAATTTGAAGTGTGTGTACTTCAGTTTGAATGTGTTAAATCACTTCACTATGATTTCTTTACCGGTGGAAAGGGGAAACAAAAGGGCTATCATATGCCAAATTGTAACAGGTAGACACTCAAAATCTAAATGTCAGGAGAAAAGATGAAACATTTGTATTTCAGTGAAATGCCAGTGTGCAAAGTGTTTAGAATACATTAAAATTAATAAAAATGTAAAGTCAGTCCGCCTCTTGTTCGCAAGATTTTTCTGCGTAGTAGACTCCCTATTCCTTCGAAGTAATGACCAGCAGTCCAAGTATGCCTATCAACACGAGACTCCCTATTCCTTCGAAGTAATGACCAGCAGTCCAAGTATGCCTATCAACACGTACTGCAAGAGAAAAAGATCCAATAAACAATTCATTTCCATTAATGCTTGAGTAGAGCTAGTAAGAAAATGCCCCTCCACTTCTACCCAGACACATAATAAACTTCTATGTGTGAAAAGCCAGTGACGAAGTTAATACTTGAAAAACCAGCGAACTTATGCAACTATCGGCATTTGTTTATAAAACTTCAAGCTCAGGAATAAACAAACAAACCTTAATGATAGGCTTCTCTGTCATAATTATGGTCACCCAACCTACGTAGGGCAAGAACCTGTAGACATGCATAGAAAATGTTAAATTAGTTAAAGTGGATATGTGTTAAGTGTGAGATGTTCTGATTAGTGGACAATTTTGCTTTGAATACAAATGGTGTCTTTATAAGGAAATCCTACAAAGTCATCATCACAAGCTTGCTCGCAGAGCCATCATTGAAAGCTTACTTACAAGCATCCTTTTTTCGTCATTACAGTATTGAGTTGTCTCCAGTGAAGCACATGCAATCAAAGTTTTTTCATTCCTACACTATTTTAGTATCTTCTTCTTCTCTTGGCAGTTAACATTCCTACACTATTTTAAGTTTTTTGAAGGTGGAAATCGTCCGGGACTTACCCAACAGCTCTTCCCATAATATGATGTCTATGCAACCATAGCTGACCATGAGCATAAAGAAGTCTGTCATCCCCATAATTATTATCTCCTGAAAAAAATTCAACAGAAAGGAGTTCAGTTGAGAAAACTAGGAATCATCAGGTTATTTTGGGTGCACAAGAATATCATGAGCGCAATCATGAAATCAAAATGCTTGAAATATGTATGTTAATACAGGATGAAAAACTGTTCCTCCATCACATTAGTTTCTCCTCTATTGCATAGGCGTCTTCAAAAGTTTTCATACCGCTGTCTTCTAATTAGAGGTTTTCTGAAATAAAACACCATATTCAATTAGCTTTAGTACCTTTTGTTAGAACATCAACCTCTCCAGTGTCTTTTTGCTCATGAACCTACAAAAGCATAACATTGCAATAAATAAATAAATAAATAAATTAGAACAAAAGAAGAAAAGGAACGAGAACGATATGCAAGTGGATGCAGCATATCTTGTGGCAGACAGACAGAACCTGAACTCAAAAAGATAACATCAGACCGGAAAGTAACCAACTCTTACACAAAATATGTCAATTTAGTATAACGGCCAATGGCCACAAACTTTAGGTGTTCCTTCATAAGTCACGGAAGTTCCTATATACACAACAAAATCTTATTTTAAAGGCAATGGTTCTCAACTGAAAACAATTTTTACCCAGATTCTTATTTTAAAGACAAACTCCGAACATGCATTTATTTTCAGATTCTTCATATTAAGACCAAAAAAGGTAGGTTACTAATATCCAAACAATGTAGCCTAAAAGAGGAAGCCATACAAACAATAGCAACCACAAAATGCCAGCCTTACCATCCAATTAAAACATTAGAAAAGAAAGTGGATCCTTAAATAAGAAAAGTAACAATGCAACTGTGTGTACCTTAATTACTCGATGGACAATAGGAATTTCACGACCCTGCAGGTACAAAGCCAAGACATATTCAGAACAGCCGCAAAATGTAATGCAATCAAGACAATCAAACTTCCCCCAATGACATATATCAACAACTTTTAAAAGACAATACAGGGGATAAACCAACTGCAAGCAGTAACTAATATCACTAATAAGTGAAGCTCAGTGCAAAGAAGCTGCAACACATGCAACTTCAGGGGAATGGTTTCACCATAATAGCCTAATGTAAGGCCTAAAATTATACGCCTGTAGGTACTTGAGACAACTTAAATCTGTGACCCTCACAGTCAAATGGCAACATGATTTTTTGATAATCAGTAGCAACATACTTGTCACTGTGGCAAGACTCACTTTTTAATACCCTAACCATACCAAGCAACTCTTTGCTTAACAAAAACAAATTTATCCAGCAGCCAAAACTATCGCTAAGCACAGGAATCTATAGTAAAGCACAACACTATAGAGAAAATAGTGAAGGAACTACGTACATCAACATTAAACACAACAATTTCTCCGGCACGAATGGGATCGTCGCTCATGTGCAAGAACAAAATGTCGCCCTGCATGAACAAAAATATTAGAAATGAACTAACAAGATCATAAATCACTCCAAATAGTCTAAAACCAGATCATGCACATCATATAATGACCTTCAAAACAAAGGTAACGAGTCATACAATGATCATAAGAATAGAGCAGAGGGGATTTTTAAAGGCATTGGCAAATGGAAAGGCATGATTTGCCACTAATTTCATTCTACCATTGTTGAGCCAGAACATTGAAAGCGAAAACAAAGCAGAGGTAGTATATTCAGAAAAAGCTCATGTTAGATAGTATGAAAGAGAGAAAGTAAATGTCAATTCTAATTATTTTTGGCCATTGTCTTGTGATAGAGAAGAGCAATCATGAAATGGAGAAGAAAAACAGTTATTCGGATGGCCAACTCATAGGAATTTGCTCATATGAAAACCGCACTACCTCGATTCCAATTTCTCATTGTATGAATTGTACTCTTTACCCTAATTAATAAAATTCTCAACAGGCAGCAGCACATCGTAGCAAGAATTCAGGAAAGTAAATCAAGATACCATCAATATTCAAAAATGACACATAGATAACTTGACATGTCACGAAGTAAGCAGCTTAAGTTTGACAGAAAAAAAAAGCACATCAAATGGGGAACCACAGAAGCTCACCCTTTTGAAACCGGGCTCCATGCTTCCAGAGAGAACAACCACCACGGGGGACTCGCTACCAGTGAAACACATCAGTGCTTTCCATATAATCAGAGCAGACGTAACAATCATCCCTGAGTATACACATTCACGCCCAAATTCGAAATGAGTTAGTTAATTCCTCCTCATTCCAACGGTTAACAAAACTAGAAACGGGAACAAAAACAAAAGACACAACTTTAATTCTGCAAGGTTTAACACAGAGACACAATCCCAAATTCCCGGCGCTAAAATGATCAGACTGGTAAGATATACATAGGCGAGATCTATGTAGATTCGGAAAGCCCTAATTAAAACCCCACCAAAAAAAACCTCCATCCGATCAGATAAAGTGCCTGGAATTCCCATTAAAGAAGAAGCAGGAAGAAGAGCTAACCGAGGCTAACGGCTTGGGTGAGAATTTGTCTGAACTGCAAAGACTTTATGGAATCGATTTGCTCGCCGATCCACCCCATCTTCTTCTTCTTCCCCGCAGTGGCCACTCCCTCCCGCTGTGTGTGTGTGTGTGTGTGTTTTCTCTTTGACTTTCTTACTAAGAGAACGACCAGTTTTCCTGTGGCCTCGCTTAGTATCTCAAGCTCTCAACTCTGCCTCTTTCCACCTAAGAAAAACATTAGACGAAGCGAAACCGTTGTTCATTTGTGGGAATGGACTGGGCTTCTGAAGGTTGCTCCGTTAAATGGGCTAGCTCATAAGATAGTCATAGTTTTCTATTTTGTGATGGGCCAATTACTATGCTGCTTAATTTCCGATGGTCCATTCTACGTTTCAGATTGGAAATGTTTATTTTTTTAACGAGTAAAACTGCTCAAATGGTCCTTTATATTTGATCAAAAACTTATTTTGATTCTTTACATTAACAATTCACTGGTTTGATTCTTTACATATATATTTTACACTAATATAGTCCTTTGTACTTTTTTTTGACCCTTTACATTTGGGGTTCTTGGGTTAACCATTTATGGGTCAAGTCAACAAGGGTATTTTCGGTAACTTTTAATTCTCAAATTTCCAAAAATACTAAAAAATCAAAAATTGATTAAAATATTATTAAACATATTATATTAATTCTATAATTAATTAAAAAATAAAAAATTAAAATTCAAAATTAAAAAAAAAATAAATTCCAAAATGTGAGTGCCCTCCCATTTTGCCTTTTTGTGTCATTTTCCCTCTTAAACCCAAAATCTAATCCAAAATAAAACATTATTCATACAACATTTAAACTTATATTTTAAAAAATATTTCAAACATTATTTTTACACAATTTTCATCCACCATCACCGCCGGCCGGCCGGATTCCGGCGTAATTCCAACGGTGGTGGAAAAATAATATTCTTTTATTTAAAATCAAATCTTAACAACTTTTAAAAATTTCTCGCAAACCACATTTTAAATCTCCTTCCAAATCCAAACTAAAAAAACGAAAACAAAAACATTGTCCATACAAGCCCAAGTTATTATATTTTGTCTTGTGGGCCACATACATGATTTCTTCTTTACCCTTAGTCTGTAATTTCTTTTCTTCTCTCTCTGGTCAAACACCCAGCGCAGCAATTACAAACTAAGTTAAAGAAAAAACCATGTGTGGGTCCCGCAAGATAAAAATAATAATGACTCAGGTTTTGGAAAAGAAAATTTGAATTTTGAATTTTAAAATTTTTTATTTTTTTAAATTATAAAATTAATATAATATGTTTCATATTATTTTAATTAATTTTTGGTTTTTAGTATTTTGAAAATTTGAGAATTAAAAGTTACCAAAAATACCCCTGTTGACTGGACCAATAAATAGTCAACCCAAGAACCCCCAAATGTAAAGGGTCAAAGAAAGTAAAAAGGACTAAATTAGTATAAAATACATACGTAAAGGACCAAACTAGTGAATTATTAATGTAAAGGACCAAAATAAGTTTTTGGCCAAATGTAAAGGACTATTTGAGCAATTTACTTTTTTTTAACCAAAAGAGTTGTGGTAGAGTGGTAAGAACTCTTTTACCCTTAACTATAGGTCGAGGGATCGAACTTCACCATGGGTCTTCTGGCCAACTTCGCGCGGAAATTGAACGAGATCTGGCAAGTCGGTAGCCCGCTGTTAGTGGTGGGTGGTGGAGCGGCAATGGTGGAGGAGGTCCAGTGTTTGTGAGTTAAAATTTGATAAAAATAATGCTTAAAATAAGTTTTAAATAGTGATTTAAAATGTTATATGGATAATAATGTTTTGAACTGAGATTTATATTTTAGAGGCGTTTTGAAATTTTTTGAATTTGAGAGGTTGAACAAACGTGCACTTAATGATATGAAACAGTAAATAGTAAAAAATCATAATTTTGACCCTAAATTTGAGTTGGTGTTAGCAGTTATACACGGAGAGTGTGCTAGTTAAGACGGCTTGGTGATTCAAAGGTGATAAATCTTATAATTTATGTATAACGAGTGTTGCAACTTACACGTTCAAGATTATAAGTTAGGTTTCATCTCCACGACTTAATGTCTTTCTATTGATATTTTTCACGGAACTGTAAAAATATTTGTAACATATAATATGTCTAAATGCAACAATTTTCACTAGATATTACAATCCTAATTGCGATACAATGGTATAACATTGAAGTTACTTACATTTTTTCCCCCTTTTTGTGTCTTCCTTTTCCATTTTGAACTTTTTCAATGAATTGGTAATCAGTCGTAATACAAAAATTGACATGAATGGCCAACTCAACCACTCTAAGACTAGTTGGCCTATAATAAATTTCTAAATTCCTTTACCATGGTTTACCAAGTTTTAATCACTGTTTTGTTTATGTTTTTTACTACGAGTTGGCACAATATTTGAAAATATTGACTACTTTTTTTTTTATAGTACTATTGCTTTTCTTCTACACTTTTTTAATTACACTTTTTATCCACACACACACAAAAAAAAAACATACCCTTACCTTTTTCCACTTTAGGAATAATACTAAAATTTACATTATTAAAATAAACAACAACTGATTGTTTGAATTTCTTATTTTGCGAGGAGCAAGAGTTAAAATTTCAATTAAAGAGAACATATTGTATTGCATGGCTTCAAACTATAAGGATTAATTTTCAATAGTATAAAATAATAGGGAGGCACCCTGCAATATTTCACCTATATTAGGAACTTAGCTTAAAGCCTTAAACCTCTGCAACCACCGTCATCTCCAACATAAAAACCCTAGTCGTGCAGCAGCAACTCAATCGCCTTCTCCTCTGTCCGCCGCAACAACCATGGTTATTCTCTATTCTTCTTCTTCTTCCTCACTTTCCCTTATTATTACTTCATGTATTAGTTTCTTGGCGTGAAGCTGTATTATGCTAAAGATCAAATTTTTTTTTTTACTGATTTTTTTTTTTGTTTTTTTGTTTTTTTTTGTTTCTTTGGTTGATTTGTGTGATTTTCAGACTGGTGAAGCTGTGAACCCGAAGGCCTACCCGCTTGCAGATGCCCAGTTGACCATAACGATTCTGGACTTGGTCCAGCAGGCTGCTAATTACAAGCAGCTCAAAAAGGGGGCTAATGAAGGTCTGGACCCCCTTTTTTTGCCCCCTGTTTGGATTTTGTTTGTTGATTGGTTATTTATTATTTAGAAAGTTACAAATCTTTAGTTGTTTGGGTTTTTTTTGGAACTAATTTGGGTTTCCTTTGAAATTGCAGCAACCAAGACACTTAATAGGGGGATGTCAGAGTTTGTAGTGATGGCCGCTGATACTGAGCCTCTTGAAATCCTTCTTCATCTCCCCCTCCTGGCCGAAGATAAGGTAATACTTGTTTTTTTCTCTGTTGTTTTTCTTGTTATCATTATTACAACAATTTAAACTTTCTTCTGCCCAACTCTGTTTATTGTAACTGTTGTTCTGTATGCAAAGCTTGTAAATGTTATGGTTAGTAATTGATACTTGTTTTAAAAAAGATTTGATTTTTTTCGTATGAAGGGAATTTTCTGCTGTGAGTGCCCTCTTTTATTGGTCGTTGTTGTATTCTTTTAGTGTTAGGTTAATATATTAAGGGAATATTGTCTGTTATATAGCTGAAACTCTATCACAATGCCGGATCGGTATGTTTTTGTTTCATAGCTCTGTATCTTTTTGTGGGAGCCTATTAGGATTGCTAGCTATTAGGAATGCTACTTGCTCTCCTCTGTGTCTGTAATAACTTGGACCGAGGAATCTCTGAATACGATTGGAACTTCTTGAGTATGTTTTGGACTTTGTAATCTTCCGAGGGAAAATTGTAAATTGATCATTTATTAAATCTAAATGTTTCATCCCCATTTAAATCAGCAACAGATTTCCCTTCTCAATCTGACATATGGGATTTTGATGTTATTTTGATTTTTGAATCTAGCTATGTTACGGCTTTGCTGATAACACTGTTTCAGTTGGTTTTGGGTCATGGCATTTGCAAATAGTATTTTGTTCTTCTTTCTGTCTCTGTTAACTTTATTGCTTAATTTTTCTGATTCTTTGCAGAATGTTCCTTATGTTTTCGTCCCATCTAAGCAAGCCCTTGGCAGGGCATGTGGCGTCACAAGACCTGTCATTGCATGCTCTGTTACTAGCAATGAAGGAAGCCAACTGAAATCGCAAATACAGCATCTCAAGGTTATTTTCTATCTTAAGCTGTGATTTGTAATCTTGTCTGATGAAAGCATGAACATAATTGTTCAAATTTTAACCTTGTCCTTTTCTGATATCATGTGTCATATGGTGCTTTATGTACAGGATGCCATCGAGAAGCTCATGATCTGAGAAGTCATGGAGTGTGTTCGGAGTGATGGGCTTCTGGAAATCACTTCTGCAGAGGCTTTGACTGATAGAGTTGCGGACTTGCGGTGCTATTAGGAATCCCTCTTTTTTTCCTTTTACGCATGTGTGTAATTTTTCCCATGGATCATTGTGACTCACATAAAAGTGAGGAATGACCTTGTCTGTCGTATTATTATTTAGAGAATGACGTTTGATTATCTACTGCTCTTGCGTGTGCTTGCCACGTTCCAGAGTCCAGATAGTGTTGCTCGCTGTTTCCCTTTTATTTTGTCAATGTTTAGAAAATCTTTTCATCGTCTAAAACATGCAGTTTTAGGGAAGGTTGGGGGTTTGGGAGAGACTATTGAAGGTGAGAGTGATTTGCAATTATGCTCCAGAGATTGCTGCATGTTACCTTAAACGTTTTTTCTTGCTAAATAATTTGAAGTTAGCAAACTTCGGTGAATTCTCAAATCGGCAATTACTTGGCTATTGCACATCACATTCTCAATATAATCACCCTTGAAACACAAGCCAATTTGGAGAAAGTCTTTGAAGTACCAAGTTCAGAAACTCTCCAAAACGATACTTGAATGCCGTCTGAAAGCTGATTAGTGGATGGTGGTTTGGTCAACGATAATAAGAAGCGATGATAGAAGAAGCTCAATTGGAAAGCTCTTAGTCTATGCCAATCAGAATTACTGAAAAAAGTGAGCTAACACAAAATGGAGTTCAGGAGGGAAGAATACAGAGTTCTTCCACAGTTATGCGTTGAAAGATGAACATGGAAGGCAGCGTTACTCTCGGCATTAACTGCAAGACGTAATGGTTCATCATTTTAGAGATATTTCCATCTTTCTCGACAAATGATGCAGTTCTCCGAGGATCAAAAGCTAGCACTGCAGCAGCCCCAGCAAGATTTTATCTAAAGTACTGGTTTTTAAAGCTGCGTTATAGTATCATGTTTGGCGTGGTGCCCTATAAATTGTACTCCCTTCGTCCCAAAATTATTGTCCAGTTTAGGTTTTCATTTTTAGTTCAAAATTTACTAAAAGTGAAATCTCAAACTGGATAATAATTTTGGGACAGAGAGTATTTCGTAAAGTATGAAGAAATTTGGGAAAATAAGATAAGGAGAATGGGGGATCGATTGGTTGTTGAAAGCCAGAAAAAGAACGAGGAGAGTCTCAAGGTTTAGCTCCAAAATGTTTGATGTCAACGACACCAGTATATATCACTTTGTTCAACAACTTTTTCACCACTTTATACCCTAAATTTAAAAATTTAATGACTTATACTTTTCTACCAAAGCGTTTTATACAATCATGGGTAGGCGTGAATTAACTGCGAGCAATTCAACTAGTATTTGTTAAAAAGTGAATTGCTCTCAAAAAATTGGCAAGAAGTAATGCCTAATAACAATGAATTTCTGTTTCTGTCTCTTCCTCTACATACATCATTTCTGATCCAAGCCCTTCTGCCATCTCATAGATTTCTTCAGACTTAGGGTGCGATTTGTCGCCTGCTGAGAATCCATGCATGTATAAAGAATCATTAGCACTACCAGCATCAACCCAACTGAAACCTATCTCTTTCTTCACACCTTTGTTTCTCATTCCTTTCCTCATCTTTGCTGCTTTTTCCCAAAGACCTTTTTCTGCAAACAGGTTTGACATCAGGACGTAAGAACCCGAGTTGTTAGGCTCCATTTCAATTAAAGTGTCAGTTAACCTTGAGGCCAAATCTACATTGCCGTAAACCCTGCAAGATCCAAGCAAACTAAAAAGTACAGATAATCCTGGCCCTCCTGGAATTTGATCCATTAACTTCTCAGCCTCCTTCAGTCTTCCGGCCCTTCCCAACATATCTACCATGCAAGAGTAATGCTCTGGTGATGGATCAATTGAGTGGTCTCTCAGCATTGAATTAAATATTTGGAATCCTGTGTCGACCATCCCTTTTCTACCGCATGCGGTCAACACAGAGAGGAAAGTGATCGAATCTGGCTTCACACCTTTATCCCTCATTTCATCGAACAAATTCATCACTGATTCATAATCCCCATGCCTTGAGTAAGCAGATATTATAGCCGTCCAAGCAACTTGATTTTTCTCACCATGTTCATGAAAAACTTTCAGTGATTCACAAATGTTACCACGCTTTGCATACATATCCAGAAGAGCCCCTGATACCATTGGATTGAAGTTCAACCCAAGCTTCAATAAATAAGCATGACAAGCCTGGCCATAAAGCAAGGAAACAGATTCAGATGAGCCTATTGCATGCAAGACACTGCCAAAAGTATATGCATTAGGCTGAACCTCCAACGAGGCTGATAAGAACGTCTCCAAAGCATCATGATACATTCCATTTTGAGCATAACCAGATATTAAAGCATTCCACGACACCGTCTCTCGGTCATCGAGCTCCTCAAAAATCTTCAAGGAGTCCATCATTGACTCAAACTTAGCATACATTGTCACAAAGCAATTAGCAACATTCACATTAGATAAAAAATTCATCTTGATACACAACGCATGAACCATCAGGCCTTCAAGCTTCATAACTTTAACTGTTATTGCTCGAAGCAATCCTACAAATGTTACCTCATTTGGATAGACTTCCTCTTTTCTCATATTCTTAAATATATTCACAGCATCTTCTTCATCAATGGAAATCATTGTTGTACAAGAGACAACGTCTCTGTCACCCATTCTCCCAAACACCAACTTTGCCTCTTCTACAAGATCACACTTCCAATACATCGACATCAAATTATTGCCAACAGAAACATCTTTCTCACGTCCTCTCTTAATAATCAAACAGTGAACCTGCCTACCAAACTCCAGGTTTCTCTCATGGCCACAGGCTGAAACAACACTGGCGAGCGATACATGATCAAGCTTCCTGCTTTCTCTCACCATTTGAATGAAGCCTAACATTGCTTCAAAGTCGTAGGTACCTTCTTGAGCATATCCTGAGATCATGGCATTCCAAGAGACTAAATCTTTGCTGGGTATTTGACAAAATGCTCTTTCAGCTTCCATAATCTTTCCCCATTTTGAATACAGAGTTACGAGTGCATTCCCAACAAACAATTCACTTTCCAAGCCAAGCTTGAGTAGTAGACCATGGAGCTGTATTCCAAAACAAAAGTTCTCTGTACCAACACTAAGCGACAAGCAGACAGTACAACTAACTGCATCGAAAACAACTCCCATTGAATGACAGTGGCAAGCAAAATCGAGAGCTTCCTCCGCATCTTGGAACCCAGAAAGCAATGTATTATAAGAAACAGTATCAGGGTTTTCCAACTTGTTAAAAATGCAAAACGCCCGATCAAAATGGCCGGATTTACAGTACATATTCATCAATGAATTCGACACCGAAACACGAGAAATGAGCCCTGTGGCCACTGCAAAGCCATGAATTTGAATCCCGACATTGGGGTAGTTCCGGCAAGCCTTGAGAGCAAGTGCAACTTCAACCTCGCCGATTTCAGAAAGACCCCATTGAAGCTGCATCTTGAAAATCTCAAGGACCTTGGGTTTGTCATTTGCGCGCACAAGGTCGAGCATCGAGTGGCCGGAAGAGCCATAGCTTGGTTGGGGAATTCTGTCGAACAGGACGCCTTCATTGTGAAAGGCGCGAAGGTAGTTTACAACTCTAACCACTTGAATAGGTCTTGAATACAATGTATTCAGTTTTAATTGGCGGGCAATCATAAGAGAATTCAAAAATCCGAATATGAATATTCTGTTAAATTCATCGGTTCCATACCAAAATAAGAATGGGCGACGAATTGGAAATTGGAATACGGACAGCTAGAGGACGAGGAATATTGGACGTTAAAACGCCGACATATCATAGTATAGTACTCCCTCTGTTCAAAAATAAGTGTCATTATAGAGTTTGCACACAGTAAAACATTAAATAGAGTAACTAAATTATTAGAATATCCTCAACCAATCCCATTAAAATAAATGCTCACCAATAATATTATATCTTTTGAGGGTATGTTTGGAAATTTTTGACAAAAAATGCATCGGAATCCGAAAACAATACTTATTTTGAAATTTCTCCATTTTGTTAAAACGACACTTATTTTGGAATGGAGGGAGTAGTAGAACATAAATATATTTTCTCGAGGGAAAAAAAAAACAAAAGGAAAGTTGAGATTGAACGAATACGTAGTCAATAATGAGGAAACCCTTTTGGTGATTACATTTTATTTTATCCCAAGTTTCAAACTTTTTTTAAAAAATAAGATCGTTTGCTCTAATGAAGTTATACTCCATCTTTCTTGAACTAATTGTTCAGTTTGAATTTTTGTGTTACAAGTGACAATGCAAAATGAACAATTATTTAAAATAAAAAGATTGTAAAAGAGGATTCACGCAATAACATGAAGATCATTAAGATAGAAGGTTAATAACAAAAAATGACTTGTATTAGTTGACGATTGACACTGTCGTGTAATTGGCTCGGATGAATATAATAATGTATACAGCATAATATAAGAAGCATGTAATTGATGGTTAAAATGGTTACATAATTTAACATGACCTACTCTTTGATGGAAAATGATATTCAGAACGAATTTACGCTTTTTTTTTTTTTTTTTCCTTTTCTTGGGTACGAATTAAACTTACGAGAGAGAGAGAGTTAGGTTTATATATTATAAGGCATTTTGGTTTGTCCTAAATTTCAGTTAGGATATCTTTTGAATTAAAATGAAAAACTTAAAAATATTTCTTAATAATTAGTAGAATACAACGAATGTGAAAATATATTTTTTAAATTTTTTTTATTTAATTAAAATAATATATTTTAGGTGAAATTTAGGACAAATCAAAATGTCTTATAATAAGAACCGGAGGGAGTATGTTATATTGACGGTTAATATGGTGACGTAAATTAATGATCGTTATCTTATATGCATAATTGAGTAGTAGTATATGCACACGAAATTCTAAGAATGAAAATAGTTGGGTTTAAATAATACAATAAACTCAACTAGGAGTCTAGGTCCTAAAATTTTCAACTTTTTTTTTAAAAATTTCATTTTGCAGAGACTGTCGATAATAATGATTAATTACGTCGCTCATAATAGATACTTCGATAACTGACTACGAGGTTCGAATTCTCAACTTATAGTTAAAAGTGGAGTAGTCCTTACTTATTCTTATCACTTTACCGCAATTCCTTTGGTTAAAATTTTTAACTCTATATTCACGATAGAATCTTCTCCTTGATGGATTTTCTGTGCCACTTTCTTGTGATATTCACTGTGACCCAATCCAATTACTCTTTATAAATTATACAATTTGTGCTAATACATATACCATAGTCACATATTTTTAATGTAGATAATTTTCATATTCTTATTTTTTATATTAATGTTTTATTTTTTATAAAATTTGAATATTTTTATTGAATTTTTTAACTATGAAAATTAAAATAAATAATCTCTAACCCGAAAAAAGTGAACCCTTAGTCCTAAAATATAAAAGTTTGAAAGTGATTGTGAATCGTATATATATTAACACAAATTATATAATCTATAAAGTATAATTGGACTGTGTCACAGTGAGTGTCACAAGAAAGTGGCACAGAGGATCCGGTGGCCTATTCTAACACTACATCCTAAGTCGAACTTTTAATTTGCCTCCATCATTTTTGTATAATAGGGGGAGCATTACTCTATTTCAATAAATCAATTAAATTATTCTCATCTCGAGATTGAGATAGTAATGTAATGGCCGGAAATGAAATGTTTAGTAATGTAATGGCCGGAAATGAAATGTTTATCTTACAGCAAGTACTCCGCAGTTTCCAAAATGTTCTTAAGAGCGACCAGTAAATGAATAAGAACTAGGGTTTCTGAAAGGAGAAAAATGAATGTTCTATTGAATGAACTCGATGAGGACTGAAATTTAGGGACTATACATACATATAATTTGAAACGGATTAACTCATGTTACCTTATACTGATACCTCAACTATCTACTGTCTTACTTTACACCCAATATATGAATCCTGAAATTTGGATCCAATTCTGTATCATTATATCTTTGGCTTCATGCAAACCTTCTTGATTCCTCACAGTAACTTTTTACTTACTGTTTTTCCTAAAGGGGTGAAGAGTGAAGACCTTTGAGAAAATGGCTATAAAACTTTAGGGTGGTTTGGAATATAAGTTAATACTCCCTATTCCAAAATGATTATCTATTTGGAAGTTTTGTTTTTAATTTTAAAAGTGAAATTCCAAATTCGACAATCAAATTTGTATAAAAAATAAAAATCCAAATTGAATAATCATTATAAAATGAAAGAAATACATAACCAAGTCGAAGTTGATTTTATCGTTAGCTCCTTCGTATTCTAATTGTTTGTTGTCTCCAATTTTATTTACGAGGAACAAGTTAGAATTAAATTTAGTTTAAATTTGTATTTTATAAATAGAATCGGAGAGAATTATTATATAGTATAACAAAATAAAATATTAAAATGGTGACGAATAGAACGTATTAGTGAGACTATCAACTTAGTTAAGTAACCCAGTAGTGGAACCGTGATTATATATGTATGTTGTTTGGGACAAGCCAGCAGACTTTCGACTTCACCAAAAGCTGGGAATCTTCGGCCTCCAGGACTTGCAAGAAGAAATTGCAGATGATGAAGATGAGGTTAGCTGAACCATCCGACAATAGACATTGTCCGACCGGTGAATATTGGGTGTTTATTTATTTATTTATTTATTTATTTCGGAATATTCCACTACTTAACAAGATTTTTAAACTATAGTAACATTTGTTTTTGTTAATCTCATCAATCTTCATCATTATAATTATTCGGATTCGAGGTCGGTTCGGACTTAGGATTGCCTATAAATGTTGGACCACGTTTGGAATCTACAGTACATTAAACACGTGACTATTGGTAATCTCATTTGTCCGATATATATCACCCTGTTGAAATCGATTCAATTATTTTAGTTGAACAAAGTCCATCAATCTAAATGAGATAGATAGAGTATAGGGTTTTCTGTTTTTATTTTCCTTTTCAATCAAATTAGATTCTCTCGAGACCGGTATAAAAAAAAAATAAAATAAAATTACTCTATGTAGGAAAAAAAAAAAAAAGAAGAAGTGGAATGGGAATCCTCTATGTAGGTGGAGTTGAGTTAGGCCCTAAAAAGGAGAATTACAAATGAAGGCCGAAAACGAAATTGCAAGACCATCTTATCATTTGGATACTTTAGTAAAACGTTTTGGGTGACCACCATATTAGTGATAATGTATTTCCAGGAAAATTAAACCAGAAAAAGTAAGGTAATGAAGTGGGAGAAGATCTCTTTCAAAAAAAAAAAGTGGGAGAAGATTCTGTTGAATGCATGGTATAAGAAGATGAATTATGATTCTGGAGAGGATTCAATTTGATTCTTTTCTTTGCTCCATCTGTCCCCCAAAAAATAGTTCACATTAAATTTTGATATTTGTCTTATTTTTTTACAAAATTTGAAATTTAATGTGAATTATTTTTCTGAAAACGGAAAAAATATTAAAGATGGAAGAAACAAAAGGAAAAAAGGAGTGCAAATACTCGAGGGGAAAAAAAAAGAAAGAGATATCCGTACGCATATCACTGCATATAATGATTCATCCAAATCCAATTTAGGAGGTCGAGCGTTGTATAGCGGCTAGAATTAAAGATCTTGTTCTTCGTATATGTATATTCTTGTTATAGTTCAAATTCGTTGTCTCAAACTTACAAATTTTTAATCTTTCATCTTCTCATTTAATCTTTTAACTTCAACAGAAAGATAATCTTCACGATAGCTAGTGATTATACGAGAATAAAAGGTTGTCGAATTTTGATCTCATTCAACTCAAAGACATCTTCTAACTTTCTTTATCACATGTAATTCGTGTTATCAATATCTTAGTGACACGGCGATAGTGATAAGAGAGTAAATTGCCGAATTATATTGTTGTATGCATGTAGTTTCATAAATAAAAATGTGACTACATTTTGGAACATACAGAAACGAAAGTGTCTCTTTTGAAATGTTGGGATAGAAGAGGAGCATTGTAGTTTCCTGAAATACATTAGATGTATTCGACACGAATGTATTTATGTGTCTACAATTTGCAAATAAATAGTGAGTTGAAATTTCTATTTGCTTTAAGTTGGCCACACATGAATCGACTTCGAAGGAGGTGAAAGCAAAAATTTTCCAATCACACAATCGTAATTCTGAAATCACAGAAAAAAAAAGGATCACAGATTATTTTCTCCCCGTGATCCAACATATAATATTAAAATTATAAGGTCTTGTTTGGACAAATAAATTTTTGTCTTTTTGTCTTATTTTACCTCTTAAAACACAAAACACAATACTATCCAAATAATTTTTTAATTTACTTTTAAAATTTTATTTCAAACATTATTTTTACATAATTTTTATCCACATCCACCAAACCACCTCCGCCACCACCGACCGCTACCGGACCACCCACCGCGGCCGCCGGACCATCGCCGGCCGGCGGCGGCAGTGGGCAGCAGTACCAGTGGTGGAGGTGGTCTAAAAATATTATTATTTTATTTAAAATATTACCCAAATAACTTTTTAAATTTTATCTCAAATTACATTTTAAATCACATCTCAAACTCAAATAAAAAATTAAAACAAAAACAAAAACAAAATATTGGCTAAACAAGCCCTACGCAACTCAGAAAATCCGTTCCCTGTATATAGACTATACAGATTCATTGAAAGAAGCAGGGTCGAGGAACTGTTGTTCTATATTCTACATGTTCATCATTAGAATGTATGTGGCTTTTCTTATAAAACTATATTTGACTATAAT